TGAAAGAGACGGCGGTTATTGTGGATGAATTGGTCGAGTATGCGACGAAATCGAGTGAAGTGGTCTGGATCGAGTAGCTCTTTGGACGGCGATTCGTGGTGTAGAGAAATTGGAGTGTCGGTGGTGAGATGAAGAGAGGTAGGTCGAGTGGATTCGGTGAAGTTGAGTGAAATTTCAAAAAGAGTGGTGGAGGTTGAGTTTGAGATTCTCTCTCTATCTTATCCTCAGCGCGTGGTCCACACTCTGTTGACTGAGAAAATCTGCTGAAAATCTACTGTAAACTGCAGGAAATCCCTGCAAGTCTCTGTAGCACCTGTTGGTCGAGTACAGTGATGTTTTCAAAATTTTGGGTTTTAAACATCGCATATACTCGACTGATGTACTCGAATTCCGGGTCTCCAGATGCAACAGAAAACTTTCAAAATTTTGTAGTCCACCAGGCTATACACTCGATCTCCAGGTCTTCTGTAGAGTTAAAGTTTTGAATTTTTACTCTATCTCCACGTTGTTCCTTTGTTCCTGAGAACCACAAATACAACTAAGACAAATCAAAAATAACAAGAAAATAAAAATTTATTTACAGAGATAGTCATGGGACTTTCTCCCAAGTGAGTTTGTTTAAAGTCATTAGCTTGACTCTTTTACTCCTTTAATCATCAAGAAGTTCCTGGAGATGAACCGATGTCACCTCGGAAAAGATTTGATCTGCTAAGTATTTCTTGAGCCTTTGACCATTTACTGTGAAGTCTCCACTCTTACCAGGTAGAGTGACTGCTCCATAAGGACGGACCTCAGTGATACAAAAGGGGCCAGACCATCTGGACTTAAGTTTTCCTGGAAAGAGTTTCAAGCGAGAGTTGAACAGCAGCACCTGATCACCAACTTGGAAATCCTTAGTGATGATCTTCTTTTCAAGGAAGCTTCTAGACGGATCTCATCGAGGTCACTGAGTTGGATGAATCGCTTCTCCTCACCAGTTTTTATGTCAAAGTTCAGAAGTTTTACCGCCCACATTGCTTTGTACTCGAGCTCAACAGGTAGGTTACATGATTTTCCATAGAGAAGATTGAAAGGAGTTGTACCAATGGGGGTCTTGAAGGCTGTCATGTAAGCCCATAATGCATCATCGAGCTTTGCAGACCAGTCTTTCCTTGTAATCCCAACAGTCTTTTCGAGAATTGTTTTTATCTCCCTATTGGAGATCTCAACCTGCCCGCTCGTCTGTGGATGATAGGGAGTGGCGACCTTGTACTTTACTCCATGCTTCTTCAAGAGGTTCTCAAAAACCTTGTTGATGAAATACTTCCCACCATCACTGATTACTGGGAACTCCAAATCTCGGGAAGATTATGGTCTTGAACAGCTTCAGCACAACTTTTGCATCGTTGGTAGGACTAGCAATAGCTTCGACCCACTTTGATACGTAGTCTACGAGGACCAGTATATACTTGTTACCGTATGAAGATGGGAATGGACCCATAAAATCAATCCCCCATACATCAAAGATCTCAACTTCCAAGATTGGATTCAGAGGCATCTCATTTCTTCTGCTGATGTTGCCTTTTCTCTGGCATGAATCACACTTTGAAACAAACTCCTGAGCGTCCTTAAACATTGTTGGCCACCAAAAGCCTGCTTGAAGAATCTTTGACACTGTCTTGAACGTCACGAAGTGACCACCATATGCTGAGCCATGGCAATGTAGCAGGATACCTTCTACTTCATCTTCTAAGACGCATCTCCTATAGATCTTATCTTTACAGAGAGTGTAAAGATAAGGCTCATCCCAGTAGTAATGGTGGATATCTCTGAAAAACTTCTTCCTTTCATAATTGGTCAGGTTGGGAGGCTCTACTCCGCATGCCAAGTAATTGACGTGATCAGCATACCATGGAGATCCTCCTTCAACAGCATTCAGTTGGTGGAACTCTTTCCCACTGTAGCTCCTTCCGAAGAACTCTACAACCATGAGCTGCTCTTCTGGCATTGAATTGTCTATCAGAAGGGGTTCTTCAATTCTCATCCTTGACAGATGGTCAGCTGCACCATTTTCAATGCCTTTCTTATCTAATATCTCCATGTCAAACTCTTGCAAACGAAGTATCCATCTCAACAGTCTTGGTTTAGTATCCTTCTTGGCATACAGATGCCTCAAAGCTGCATGGTCTGTATAGACAGTGACCTTTGATCCAACCAAATAGCTTCTGAACTTCTAAAATGCGAACACAACAGCTAGAACCTCCTTCTCAGTTGTTGCATATCTTCCTTGAGCTTCATCCAACGTTCGGCTGGCGTAATATATGACATGAAGCTTCTTGTCTATTTTCTGGCCTAAAACAGCTCCTACTGCGTAATCTGATGCATCACATATGATCTCAAATGGATAGTCCCAATTAGGCGCTCGAACAATAGGAGCAGATACCAAAGCACCATTGATGGTGTGAAAGGATTTGAGGCAGTCCTCATCGAATTCAAATTCGGTCTCCTTGCACAATAATCTGGTTATCGGTCTGGCTATCTTGGAGAAGTCTTTAATAAATCTTCTGTAGAAACCAGCATGACCAAGGAAACTTCTGATGTCCTTCACCGTTTTTGGCGGTTGCAACTGCATCATCACTTCAATTTTTCCTTTGTCAACCTCTATACTCTTCTCTGATATCTTGTGACCCAACATTATGCCTTCCTTCACCATGAAATAACACTTTTCCCAATTGCGAACAAGATTCGTCTCTTCGCACCTGGTCAATACCCTGCCAAGATTCAACAAACATGAGGAGAAAGAGGGGCCATAGACCGAAAAATTGTCCATGAAAACCTCCACAATCTCCTCGATTAAATCTGAAAAAATAGAGGTCATACACCTCTGAAATGTTGCAGGAGCATTGCATAAACCAAATGGCATTCTCTTATAAGCAAAATTTCCATAAGGACATGTGAAAGTGGTTTTTTCTTGAAAATTAGGGTGAATTGGTATTTGAAATAAACCACCATATCCATCAAGAAAGCAATAGTATGGCTGATTAGCTAAACGGTCAAGCATTTGGTCAATGAATGGTAAAGGAAAATGATCTTTCCTAGATGCAACATTTAACTTCCTATAATCAATGCACATTCTATGACCAGTTCTAGTTCTAGCAGGGATCAGTTCATCCGTTTCATTTTTGACAACAGTCATTCCACCCTTTTTAGGGACGCAATGCACTGGAGAAACCCAAGTACTATTAGAGATAGGGTAGATGACACCAGCATCAAGCAGTTTCAAAATTTCTTTTTTCACTACTTCTTTCAAATTGGGATTTAACCTCCTATGTGGTTCAATGCTAGAATAGGATTCGTTTTCAAGCTGGATCCTATGGTTGCATAAACTAGGTGAAATTCCCTTAATGTCGGATAATGAATAACCAATTGCTTTCCTATACTTTCTAAGCTCAGATAATAGCAGGTTCACTTGATCATCATTTAACTCAGCATTAATGATCACAGGGTAAGTAGAGTTTGGACCAAGGAATGCGTACCTTAGACCTTTAGGAAGTGGTTTTAGATCAACCTTCGGCGCCTTGAGTTCAGACCAGTCATCTGAAGTTGGGATGATCGGCTCCCCAAATTCGTTGGCAGACAAGGTCGAGTATGTCCTCGAGTGTGCAGGTTGAACTCGTGTTGACCCTTCTTTGCTCATTACCATTACCTCCGTTGCTGGTCCATTCAATTCCTCAAAGGGTTCTGATTCTTCCATCGCTTTATTGGAGTCTAACAGCTTCTGGTATCCCAATGTTTCCAAATGCAGAAACCCATCTTCACCACTTTTGGTTAAAGCACTGTTAAGATGATCTTCTTCTGCCAGCTCTTCTAGTTACTCATCAGCTAAATGATCCATTTCTTCGATCCAAAAGAGTTGCTCTTCTATGGTAGGCTTTTTCATCGCGTCTTTGACATCAAAGGTCATCCTAAAGTCTTTGCCAAAGTTTAGATCAATCTTCCCTTTCTTGACATCAATCATAGCTCCTGCAGTTGCTAAGAAAGGTCTCCCTAGAATCAAAGGGTCCTTGGGTTCTTCATCCATCTCCAGGATTACAAAGTTAGTTGGTATGTCCACAGCACCAATCCTGATTTGTAGGTTTTCGAGCAAGCCATGAGGGATCCTTACTGACCTGTCAGCTAGGATTAGAGATATATTGCAGGGTTTGTATTGAGTGAATCTCAATCTTTTGATGACAGAGAGCGACATGAGACTGACTGATGCTCCTAAATCACATAGGCATCTGTTGAAAGCCAATGGACCTAAAGAGCATGGTAGAGTGAATGAGCCAGGATCACTAAGCTTCTTAGGAATGATCTTCTTCTGTATGGCGCCAGAGGCTTGCCCGTGAAGCAGCTGTTGTAACATTTGTTTCATGTCAGCGTCAAGAGCAGCAGGACCTTGGTTTTGCGGAGGTGCAAACCCAGGTGGTGGTTGTTGCTGGTAGTTCCCCTTAAATTGTTGTTTGGAAGCAAAACCTTGATTGTAAGGAAGAAAAGGTTTGTTCTGACCTTGTTGTTGCTGTGGAGGATACACCTGATCCTGAGGATTAGCAACGTTGGTGCTGCGGTAGGAGAGGTTGGGGTTGTTGGTTTTGAAGTTGTTGTATCCTTTGAAGCCACCCTGGTTGTTGTTGATGTAGTTGACTTCTTCCAACTGGTTACCCTCCCCATCTTGGACTTGAAACTGCTCGTCATCAACAAGGAAGTGTACATGCTTCTGCTGGCTAAGAAGAATCATGTCCAGCTTGTCATTCAGCGCTTTGATCTCCTTCCTGTGTTTGTCATCAGAGTCAGCTGTGCCTCTGACGGTCCTATCGCAGTCCTCGTTGTAATTGCCATCTGATTGAGCAAGGTTCTCAACCAATTCCTAGCCTTCTTCAACATCTTTGTTCTGGAAATTTCCATTGGTGGCGGTATCCAGAATCATTCTGATGCGTGGTAGGACTCCTCTGTAAAGAGTGCTGAGCAGAGAGGCTTTAGTAAAGCCATGATGAGGGCATTGGTTGGTGTAACCCTTGAAACGCTCTCATGCTTCAGATAAGCTTTCACCTGCCTTTTCTAAAACGCCAAAGATCTCATTTCTGAGTCTTGCAGTTCTGGCATTGGAGAAGAACTTTGATAGAAAAGCCTTCTTGCAATCATCTCAGGTTGTGATTGAGCCATGGGGCAGATTCTTCTCCCAGATGTGTGCTTTGTCGCCCATGGAGAATGGAAACAAACGGAGCTTGAATCCGTCTTCACTGACACCATTGATCTTTGTTAGGTTGCAGAGCCTATCGAATTCATCAAGGTGGTCGAGTGGATCCTCCATTGGCAGACCATGGAATTTGTTCCCCTGAATCATCGAGATGAGACCACTCTTAATCTCGAAGTTGTTGTTCTGGATAGCAGGAGGTGCAATTCCTTTCCTCTGACGGTGATCACGTGGTGCATCTCCAGCACCAATGTTGGCAAGGCCATTTTGTTGATTCTGTTCGTCAGCCATTTCGAGTGGTTGCTGAGGTGCAAGGTTGACTGTATTTCTCCTTTCTTTGAGTTCGCAAGCTATGCGGTCGATGTTGTCGTTGAAAAGGAGGTTTTGATTGCCTGTTGATCGAGTTCGCATACTACAGAGGTGTACCTGGATCAAGAAGACAACAAGAAAAACACACAGTTAGCAACGGAATTGAAAATTGAAAAAGAACTTGATCTAAGCAAGTCTGAAATCTCAAATGTAACAAACGAACACCCAATTGGCAACGGCGCCAAATTGATAATAGGTTTTTAGTTCAATTATCCTAAAACACCAATCATATCGTTGTAGTATTTTAGGTTGTTAATCCAAATGGGTGTGATGCTAACAATCAAGATGTGATCCGAAGTCACTAAGTCAAGCCAAGCAATAACAGGTTTTGGTGTTTTCTAGCAGTCCTAAGTGAACATGCAGAAACAGAAAATCAAACAGAAACAAATAAACACTCGACCAACACAGCTCGTTGCAGAGCATTGGGTGTGGTCGAGTGACAGGTCGAGTAACAGACAGAAAATGATAACAATGAGAGTCAAAACTCACACAATAGAAATTGTTTTAAGGGTTTCTTCAAAGAACGGATCTTTGCGAGATTCTCAAAGAACAACAGAATTGACGATTACCGCGGACGGTGTTCTTGGTTGTATTAATGAAATAGTAAGGATTTGATCGTACAAGTGTTTTAGAATATGAAAATAAGTGTTTTTGCCTTCAAAGTCAGAGCGTTTTTGATAGCTTAAAGTTGAGAGCGTTTTTGTGTGTGTCCTTTTTCTCTCCTTTAGAAGTTCTTTATATAGGGCTTTAACATATCGCTTCTCGCGATATTCTCGGAAGATTTCTCCTTATCTTCAAGCTGGCCAAGGAGATTTATCTTTATCTTCCAATGATTCTGGAAACCCTTAGATTCGGTGATATTCTCGGAGGTTCTCTAATCTCTTCCGGGGTTTTCGGAAATGGTATGTTCGATCTCATATTGGTTAAGTCATTTCTTGAAGGTTTTGTCCCGATTCGACGTTTCTCCAAGCCGGGATGAGCTGCCCCTTTAGTTGAATGATTTCCCGGGTTTCTTTCTGAGGCGCTTCAAGATCAGGTCGGGGAATCCTCTATGGCAATGTTCCGAGGCGTTCTTGGTGTCGCCTCGGGAAGTTCCTTTGACGTGATCCCCGAGGTGTTTTGGACCCTGGCTCGGGGTGGTCCTTTGACAAGATCGCCGAGGCATTAATCATTGTTGGCTCGGTTTTCTAGGTGGAATCCGACCCCAACAGCTTGCCCCCAGCTCATTGACTTAGTAGAGACGATGAGCTTTATAGATTGGTTCTCGAGCCGACTATTTATCTTCCTAGATTTTAACTGTCGTTTCGTCTTCCTGGACGGTCAAACTTCCGTTGCGCGCCGACGACTATTTTTGAGAAGTGGAAACGTTTCTCGCTTATTCCCGAGGATCACGCGGGTGTTTCCTTCTTCCGAGCCCACGCGCTTAAACGCGTTTCACTTGTTTGATGCGGACCCGACGCGCCTCCAAAAATTCTATATATTTGGCGAGCCACTCTTCAGGAATTCATTTGAAGTTTTCGAAGAAAATAAACAAGGTTTGCTTCTTTCTGTCTGGTCTTGATATTTCTATATCGTTCTTTCTTTTCCGGTGAAGCTCCGCCGTTCCTTTGTCATTTTGATTTTTCCAGTTTAGAAATTTTTGTTTTCTGGTCGTTTCTCATCTCGTCGATCGTCCCCGAGCCAAAAATGAGTTCCAGTCAATCTCTCTCGATCCCGAGCGCTTCTCTTGTTGATTCCAGCAATTCAAATCATCTAGACGATCTTCCTCCAATCTATAAACGGAGAACGGAGATGACTTCTTTCACGGCTAGGGAAGATACCAATGCCGATATAGCTCGGGAATTAGATTTGCCCGATGATCCTGAGCCGCCTCTCGTTCGGAGATCCCTTGCCCCGATGGTAGATGAAGCCGGGACATCCAATTGGCGAGATGTGCCCGAGCCCCTAATGCCGACGATAAAGATTGAGGATTTTCTTTATTTTGGCCCGAATGAGATAGAAGATATTCTGCGTCTTAACGAGCAGAGGGCTTTCGAGAAAGCCGAGAAGAAGAAGAGGAAGAAGAATAAAAAGGCGATAATGTCGGATCCTCCCGGCTCGACATTATGCACCGAGCGGTCTCTTTCGGATCTCAGAGCTCGATTTGGTCTAGGTGCGGTAACATTGCGTGTACCGAGCCCTGATGAGCGAGACGACAATCCCCCCACGGGTTTCTACACTTTGTACGAGGGGTTCTTTTATGGCTGCTTCTTGTGGCTGTCAGTTCCGAGGCAGGTTTTGGAGTACGTGACGTCGTACCAGATTGCCCTCTCCCAGATCACGATGCGGTCCTTGAGACATTTGCTCGGGATTTTGATTTGCAGTTATGAATCCGAAACCGAAATTACGCTTGCTCATCTGAGGAATTTTCTCGAGATCCGGCGGGTTCCCAAATCTGAAGTGGATCGGTATTACATATCTCCTGCTAAGGGAAAGAAAATTATTGACGGGTTCTCGAGCAAGGATGAATCGTATACCGACCACTTCTTTTACGTGGCTCTCAGAGATGCCGTTCACGATGATCTTCTCGGGACGGTTCTGACGAGATGGGGAACTTTGGGTAGTTGTAGTTAACGATCTGTTTACGTCCGACGCGATTTATATATTTTTTGTTTCTTTTTCTAACTAGTTTCTTTTGTCGCAGAACGCACCCTCAAGTTCCTCGAGCCGATTCCTGACGATTTCCTCTCGTCTTATCACGCGTTATCATCTCGGAAGTGCGATTGGTCAAAACATTTTTCCCGGGATCGAGTCGAACGAGCCCTCCGTCTTCTTCACGGTGTTTCCTGCCCCTCCAGCTCAGAATCTTTGGACCATCGTACTCAATTCTTCGTCGATATGCAGTCAACTAAGCTTACTTTGAGGGAGGTGTACGTGAAGAAAAAGAAAGATAAAGAGAGACGCTTGGCGGAGGAGAAGCGCCTCGCAGAGGTAAGGCTGAGTTTGTCGCGGGGGGCCTCTCCCGATGCGGCTCAAGATCGGGACGTTGCTCCCGAGGTTGTGGTTCCGGTCGACCCGACGCCCGCTGGGGCTCAAGAAGTCGATCCTACAGTTGGATGGCTTTATCCAATGATTTGTAGAACCTATGCCTGGACGGCTTTATCCATTTTGCAATTCGAACTTTTTGGTGGAATTCTAAAATCCCGAACCGTTTTATTGCCTAATATAATTCAGTTTAAGTATGGGTGAAGCTTTTCGGTTGCGATCTGATTCACCCTTTGACCAGCGTTTAGAAACGAGCTGGGATACCGGTGTTTGAGTATGACCGGGTTTCTGAAGATAGAAATTTCTGCTCAGAAATATTCTGAGAGAATTTATCTTGTATTTATATAGCGCGCTGTAGCCGAGCAGGCGTAATAGATACTCCGAGCCGTCGCTCATCGTATTTAGCCGAAGCGTTTTAAACTTGTGAATCGAATTTATTATTTGTGAATCGAATTTATATATAATAAGTGGGAGTATGGATATACGGACCCACTCCCCCCTTTTTAATGGGGGGTAGCTGAACTCGTCCGTAGATGAGCTGCCTACGTACCCTTTCCAGGGATCAAGCCACCTCGTAGTTCAAGTTTAGTCACCTTGGATTTAGTTGTAGTATTTCCTTAGGTGCATCGCGTTCCAGGATCTTGGAACGGCTTTGCCGCTTAAATCGGCGAGCTCATATACTCCGGGTCGGATGACTTTAGAAATTAAGTATGGTCCTTCGCAGTTTGTCCTGAGCTTTCCAGCGTTCGGTTCGGGGGTGTTCCGAAAAACTTTTCGGAGAACCCGATCTCCTTCGTGGAATCTACGCTGTCGAACGTTTGAGTTATAATGAAGAGCCGTTTCATTTTGATAATTTTGTATGCGAACCAAGGCTGAATCCCTTCGTTCATCGATCAGATCGAGTTCGTCGAGGAGCCTCTGAGTATTATCAGGGGTGTTCTCGGGGGATAGACTCCGGCGTAGGCTCGGTACTATCATTTCGGCTGGAATTACGCATTCTTTTCTGGAGACTATTGCGAAAGGGGTTTCTTTTGTGGCTCGGCGAGGAGTTGTCCGATGCGACCAGAGAACACCTTCGAGTTCGTCGGAGCACGAGCCCTTTTTAGCATCGAGCCGTTTTTTCAATCCGTCGAGGATTGATTTGTTGGCGGCCTCGGCTTGGCCGTTTCCTTGAGGATATCGTGGTGTTGACTTGCTAAGTCGAATTCCCCATTTATCACAGAAGCCTTGGAAGCGGGTTGATATAAATTGCGAGCCATTATCCGTAACGATCTCATAAGGTATCCTGTGGCGACATAGCATATTTTTCCACACGTAGTTTTTGACTTGAGCGTCCTTTATGGTGGCGTAAGATTCGGCCTCTATCCATTTAGAGAAATAGTCGGTCAAGACGAGAACTAATTTTTTCTGCTTTGAGGGATGCATAAGTCCAATTGTATCCATGCACTATCGCATGAATGGATACGGCGAGGCGATTGACAACAAGAGCTCGGCCGGTTGAT